CACACACACACACACACACACACAGTGTCAGCAGGAAGATGAGCCAAACGAAGAGAACCAAACAAAAGCTGAACGAAAGGCAGCCAGCTTTACAACAAGGCCCCTTGTGCCACTAAACTGCGGGGCTCACGTCTAATCCCAATCGGATAAATCCTCAGAAGGTGGGTTCGGACAAGCCACCCTAAAAGCCCCAAACTTCGGCCGCTCTTTAGTCAGGAAAGCTCGAGGGGTTTCCATGGGAATCACAGGAGAAGGCTGGATAGATCTTCCCGGATTCTGCTTGTCCGAGGCAAGATGCCTGAAGCTTGGAGTGGAGACACCACCCCCTCCACCAGCCCAACTGCCCGTGGCCACACGCAAGTCCAGCAGAGGACGCCGGACCACAGCCCCCACAGACTCCCTGCCCCTGGACACTAAAGGACCCCACGCCTGGCCTTTTTTTTTTTTAAGCTGAGTGAAGGCACAGAACTCTTTTTAATTTTTAAAATAGATTTCAGAGAGGAAGGGAGACGGAGAGAGCTAGAAACATCAATGATGAGAGAGAATCATTGATTGGCTGCCTCCTGTGTGCTCCCTCCTAGGGACTGAGCCCACAACCCAGGATGTGCCTTGACCGGAATCAAACCCAGGACCCTTCAGTCTGCAGGCCGATGCTCTATCCACTGAGCAAAACGGGCTAGGGCCCATGCCTGGGCTTTGATAAATGCCTGAACTTCCGCACAGGGAAAGACGGTGTGGGAACAGGATGCTAATTTGTTGGGGTGGGAAGGGACCTGGGAAGGTCCATGGGTGGATGAACGGAGCTGGATTATGAAGGATGGGTTGGACTTTAAAAGATGGACTGAAGCACTCAAGTTCAGGAAACACAGACAGTCCCAATCAAGATGAACCCAAAGAGACTCACACCTGGGCACATCAAAATTAAAATGAATCTTACAGGCACCGAGAGAGAGACGAAAGTTACCTACAAGGGAGCTCCCATTAGACCGTCAGCTGATTTCTCAATAGAAACACTTCAGGCCAGAAGGGACTGGCATGACGTATACAAAGTACAGTGGGGCCTTGACTTACGAGTGTCCCGACTAACGAGTTTTTCGAGATACGAGCTGTCTCTCGGCCGATTTTTTTGCTTTGAGTTGCGAGCTAAAATTCGGGTTACGAGCCAGCTTCAGATACCCCACCACTAGTTGGCACGGCGAACGTCACAGTGAACGCCACAACATCAGCCCACCATCACGTGTCTCACTCGTTCACTTTTTGATTTGACATACGAGTAATTTGAGTTACGAGCTCCGTCACGGAACGAATTAAACTCGTAAGTCAAGGTCCCACTGTAATGAAAAGCAAGGGACCGAATCCAAGACTACTCTAACCAGCAAGGCTATCATTCCAAATTGAAAGTGAAATAAATAGCTTTGCCGACAAAAAATGGCTAAGATAGTTTATCGCCGCCAAACCAAAACTGCAAGAAATGCTAAAGGGACTGTTGTAAGAAGAAATGGGGGGGGGGCGAATACAGGCATAAAGAATAAAAATGGGAACAAATAAGTACCTATCCATAATAACCTTAAATGTAAATGGCTCAAATGCTCCAATAAAAACCCATAAGGTAGCTGAATGGGTAGAAAATGTAACCCATATATAGGCTGCCTATAAAGTCCCACCTCAGAAAAAAAGATTCCCATAGGATGAAAGTGAAGGGATGGAAAAATTTTTCCATGCCAATGGAAATGAAAGAAAAAAAACTTGGGGAAGCAATACTCATATCTGATGAAAAAGACTTCAAAATGCATCACCTAGGGCAAGAGAAACAAAGGAAAAATTAAACAAGAGGGAATATACCAAAACAAAAAGCTTCTGCACAGCCAAAGACACCAGCATCAAAATGAAAAGGGAGCCCACTGCATGAGAGAACATATTTGCCACTGATACATCTGCTAAGGGGTTTTCCAAAAATGTAGAAAATACTCATCTAATTCAACAAGTGGTAGACAAACAGTCCAATTAAAAAATGGGTAGAAGACCTGAATAGACACTTCTCCAAAGAGGACATACAAATGGCCAAGAGACACGTGAAAAAATGCCCAGCATCACTAATAATCAGAAAAATGCAAATCCAAACGATAATGAGGTACCACCTCACACCTGCCAGGATGGCTACCATCAACAAATCCACAAACGACAAGTGCTGGCGAGGATGTGGAGAAAAGGAACCCTCATGCACTGCTGGTGGGAATGCAGACTGGTGGAAAACAGAGTAAAATAAATGCCCAGGACTCCGGGTGCACACCTGTTTGCCTCAAGTCCCTCCTTACCCGGAATACAGTCCCCAAATAAAAGGGCGGAGCTGCAAGAAGTGACAAGCCTACAACAGCAACGACAAAGGAGGTGACAGCCCTGACCAGGTAGATCAGTTGGCTGAGAGCATCATCTGGGTAGGACAAGGTTGTGGGTTCAATCACCGGCCAGGGCACACACAGGAATCAACCAATGAATGCATAAATGGGGTGGAACAACAAA